TACACAAATCCTACTTACTCCATACTCTCTAGGTTTGTCCTGTCCTTGCTTGGTGAACTAAAAACCTCTGCTTCAGTTTCAGTGTACTTTCCTGGTTGTTTCATGCCAAAATCAAAAATAGATAGGATTTACTGGAAATCTGCATTTAAAAATCATTTTACCTTGCTTCATGCTAATTTCTCACAGTTGATGGATGTGGGAAAGCAATAGAAAAAAGCCTGCAGCTTTGTAATACATCCCTTTTGCCCTTCATTCAGCTCAGTCAGCCACGTCACCTGCACATTTTGTGCATGAAGAGGCCACGTCTAAACCAGAGCTGAACATTAGTTGTTTTGCCTGATTTTTTCTGATCATTTAATTGCTAGTGATGTGTTAAACAGGATATCTTACTGCATTTAAACCAAAGGCTTCACAGGTCTCTTCAATCATGCAGCTTGATTTTAGGGAAGAAATCTGCTGAAACCTGCTCCCGAAGTAAAATTTGCTTCACTAATAGGAAAGCACGCATGGGTTCTGTGACAGTAATTCCGTATGCATTAAGAGAAGTTAAGACATAATGAAAACCAACCCGTGCTCGGTGGAAACACGCAGACTGACAGAACGTTACTAGGCCAGTCACGGGAGTTTAACGGCAGTCAATGGGAAGAGAAGCTTCCATTAAGCAGTAGAATCTTACTGTAATTAAGCTGCACACGACAAAAGCCAGTCCCTGCAAACCAGTAGCACACCCTGAGTGATGGATTTAACTTCACTGGCTATTGAGGAATGAATGTCTTTGGAAGCAGAACTTACTGAAACGTTGTAGAAACATGCTGCACATGCCTATTTGTGTGAGCACAAAATGAGATTTGCTGCTGGCTCTGCTCTGCATCTTACTGCTCCCATTTGCTGGTCCTGCTCTTACGTTGTACGTTATCATTAAGAGAGAAAAATGTCTGTGAAAGCATTACCTCTGAGATTCCTTTAATTACAGCCTGCAGATAGTAGCATAATAAAAGTCATCAAGGAGACTATTGGTAAAACCAACTAGAGTAACCTTGTCAAAAACAAGGATAAGCCACTTAAAAACCGTGTAGATAAGAAGTCTAGGTTTTCTACTATCAGTGACCAGAAGATTCCAGAAGCTTAGTTTTCAAGCAAAAATAGAAACAGGAGAAGTTCAACTTAAATACAAAGATTGAGTTTTATATATTTGCATAGAAAATATAAGGGGGTGGGGGGAAGAGGCATTTTCTAGTTTCCCTAGGAAACTCACTATTACACTTGGTCCATCCTCCCAGCTTCTGTTGTGAACCTACCAGCCCTGCCAAAAACCTTTTTCTACTTCTGGCAGTATATTCCATTAGCGAATCTCAGTCTGGAGGCAGACTGGAAAGTTCCACAAGGTTCCAGTGCTGTTTAGATGTTGGAGAAATGTGCCTTCAGATAAGATATGAGACCGCAAATGCAAAGCTACCAGCTGTTACAAAAGCAGCGAAAAACGTGTGTTACTAGAACTAACGTTAATAAGGGAGCCAGGGGGATTTCATGGACACGTTAAGCTGATTTAAGCTGAAGAGATTTGGTTCAAAGAAAATTTCTAATATTTCATAAATGAAGTATTCAGTGGAGTACTTTAACATGCCCATGACAATTACTTTGCCCTGAATAATCAGCTGATAGGTGATGCGGATGCGCTGCCTCCAGTTGCACTGCAGGATGAGTCACTAGCTGAGATAAAGAACAGAGCCCCAGCAAGACTGCTAAAAGCTGTAACATGCTCAAAGTGTGCCTACTCCAGTGATACAGCAAGAATGATACCCTCCTGTCTGGCTGGATTTTCAGTGTACTTCATCTTCTCCTGTGTAGTCAGTGCCTAGTGTGTTTTCTCTCTGACAAGCCAAATGAGCTACTCAGTAAAAAATGCTATAAAACCTTTATTTCATGCCTTTGTCTATCATTTTCAGACATGTTTATGGCATTTCACATCAGCTCTTCTATGGGAAAACCTTTAGAAGACAGTGTGTTTGTATAGACATATGTAAATAATGCATAGGCATAATTATAAAACAATGAGTGACTGAAATTGCAATGCACAGCAGGTAGAAAACACACACTTGTGGAGAGAAGTCCCACTGGAAATGTGACTCTCTTAAAACCTCATCTATTTAATTACAAGCTATGGATATTGCACACATCTCAAACAAACACATTATCAAGAGTGATGAGAAGGGAAGACTGACTCCACACACAAAGGTTCTGTCCTATTTTGACCTGCTCTTTATCACCTCCCTTCCAGCCCTGTGTGAGGGTGTGTGTACAACAAGGTTACACAGAGATGGGGACTTACACTTCCTAACTGCTGCACAGCACAAGAAGCTATTGATGGGTTCCCACACCTTGAGTGTATGCTCAGGGAGGGCTGAGAGATGCTGGAATAGAGAAGAGGATGAACAACTGCCCCCACTGAGCTAGAGACAGCAGAGACAGCTCCATCATGCCAAATGGCCCAAGTACAGAGCATTTCTCCAGTAACTGTATTTGAAGGCATGATAATATTTGTTCATGGTATGACAGACAGTTACAGGACCATGTACCAAGTTATGGCTATTCAAGATGTAGGTACCTGAGTCAGTAGGACTCTAACTGCATCCTTAAAATGAAGGCTTCATTAAAGATCTTTCTCAGTCATTCCTCTCCCTGTCTTCCATGATAGGTCCAAGCCAACTAAACGCTCTCATTATTTCTTTTGGATGTATGCTATGCTAAAAGAAAAGTCCCTGAAAGAATGGAGGCATTGAGACCTCAGGTAAGGATAGATCTTGTGAATTAACATCCACTTTTGGTACATAATCTTTGTGAGAAGTTCATGGAAATAGTTTTCAAATAAATGGATTAATATCATTAATACTTCACAGCTCATTTTCATATTTTCATTTGATCTTTCAGAAAGCATTCAATTATTTCAAGCTGCTGTATTCTTCCATTCCAAGTTCATTCTTGCCTCTGAGGGTTTATGCTGATTTTTCTTTTCAATAATCTTGTCCTAGTGCAAAGAAGTGTTGAAACATTGACAACCAACTTCACAATATCTATCCCGTTTATTTGTATCCCATCTCCATTTTCAATATTTTATGGCTGTAGAAATGATACACCCCAATGAAAAGGAAGTGCTGACAATTTTACTTGCAAGTATAATGAAGGCAGTCCATGCTTAAATGCAGCTATATCCCCCTGGTGTTTTGCCTGAGTCACTTAGCTGAGGATGGTTCAAATCAGTTTGGGTTAAGCTTTAGTAATATAAAAAAGTTCTGTAATCACAACCAAGTGAATCTGCACATTCTCCACAGTCATTTCTCACCTTCCCTGCCAGCAAGATGAGCTTCACCTTGACACTTTCCTAAGAGCATCCCTCAAATCAGGGTAGCCAGAAAGGGGTAAAAGAATAAATCACCACCCACAAGAGACCTCCAGTCCCAAATGTAGCACACGGCTTCTAGTAAAACCTGCTCCCTTTGTAATAAACTTGAGATACCCATCAAAGCATAGACATTTGTGACCTCAGCCATCAGTCACAGCCCCTCAGTTTACCCCCTAGAGGGATCCATCCTGTCTTTTCACAACTTCTTACAAGTCCCATTAGGGAAATTCTAGTCTGATTGCAGTATTATTTCACTCTGTCTTTATGGCCCTACTGTTAGAACTCTAACGTGACTGCCCCATTAAACAAACTGATTTTAACATAGGTGGTCTAAAGAACGTATAGAATAATTATCCAAGACTGAAGTGATGATGGAAGGCTTTGCTGCATTGGAGATTTATAGAACTAAAGCTACACTTAAAAGAGGTTGAGAAGTTTTGGCAGTAAGAAATTTCCTTCATAGAATCCCAGCCTGGTTTGTGTTGGAAGGGCCCTTAAAGCTCCTCCAGCTCCAACCCCTACCATGGGCTGGGACACCTCCCACTAGAGCAGCTTGCTCCAAGCCCCTGTGTCCAACCTGGCCTTGAACACTGCCAGGGATGGGGCAGCCACAGCTTCTCTGGGCACCCTGTGCCAGCGCCTCAGCACCCTATTCCTAATGTCTAAGCCAAATCTACCCCCGTCCCATTTAAAGCCATTATTTCTTATTTCATCATCTGATATTACTCCCAGGGGAAAAAAACTCAGGGGAGTTACTGACACTCAGACTGCTCAGTATTATCAATGTGCAAGAATATGACCAAATAACTCAGATGTATGGGTCAGCGTGAGGCATTTGAATACACTTAAGTGTTTCAAAAAACCCCACGTAAGTTTCCTTAAGTGCAGAAGAGAAACAAAATACAAACCAACATCAAAGCCCCAAACCAATCAACCAAAAAAAACCCTGTACACTTTCTCCTTCTTCCTTACCAGATTCTGCAGCCAAAATATACAGCAAAGAGGAAATACAGCCCAAGAAACAGTGATACAAACTGAAAGGGGGGAGAAGTTTAGGTTAGATATAAGGAAGTTCTTCCCTGTGAGGGTGGTGAGGCACTGGCACAGGTGCCCAGAGAAGTGGTAAATGCTCCATCCCTGGCAGTGTTCAAGGCCAGGCTGGACAGGGCCTGGAGCAACCTGGTCTAGTGTGAGGTGCCCCTGCCCATGGCAGGGGGTTGAAACTGGAAGGTGTTAAGGTCCTTTCCAACCCAAACCATTCTGTGATTCTATGACATAGTATTAATCAGTATTTTGAAATAAGGAATCACTGTCTTTACCAAAGTCTGTTTTAAAGTCACATCCAACCAAGCACGGAGGGAGGAGTGGGCAATACAAACGTACTTCGTTCACATCCTGCAGCTTTTGCCTTGTAAGTAGGCATTGAAATAAAACAGCCCATGTCAGAAATAATTTCCCCTTGAAGTAGCTCTGCAAACTCAGGAGCTGAAAGGGACTCAGGTGAGCATTCAGATGTGGTGGGATTGTGGTTGGTTGGTTTAGTTTGGAGTCCCCCAAGTCAGTCAAGCTGATTGTCACAGAACAGAACATACGAGTTCCCATTAGCCCAAAAGTAAATTTGCTTTTGGAAGTCATTTATTACAAATGGAACAGCTTTAGGGGCTCTTAGGGATAGTTATTAAGTGTTTATATTTTTTAAATCAGGCTTCATTTCAATGTTTAGCTATTGATTGATGCTTACAGATTGATACTGTCTCCTGCTGGTGTCATAATATAAGGCAATGAACCAGTGAAGATTCCTGTTCTTACATGAAAACAGAACCTAAAAATGGAATTTAAGTGAAAGCATAGCGTATTCGAGGCTGACGTCCAGCAAAGCACTGAAACACACACATATATTCTCAATTAACTCAATGAGACTGTGCCTGTGTCTTAAGCAGTTTGCTGGATCGCGGCCATCTACAAAACTGTTTCTGCCCCGAAGATTGCTCAAAAAGTCTCTATAGTTATCATGTCTGTCCTCTCTAAATATTTAGTTTCCATTAAAGCCTATTCAGTACCTACCAGTTTCACTCCCAACCTATTTTGTAACAGTTTTCCTCTCCAGAAGCATTTAACGTGTAGAGTTTATTTAAAATAAAGCAAATGAAGGAGGAAATGCACTAAAACATGTGGTTAGTGGGTGTACCTCAGCAAAGGTGTGTGGAGGCATGAGCCAGTCCCTGTCAAATCCAACACCGAAGGAAACCCTGCACATGGGAAGTTATCCATTAAAACATGGCCTGGGGGAGACCAGGAGCAACTTTAGAAGATGTAAATATCGACAAATCAACACAGTGTTACCCCTTGCAAAGGTTGCAAAGGACCTTAAGATCATCCAGTTCCAACCCCCCTGCCATGGACAGGGACACCTCACACTAAACCATCTCACCCAAGGCTCTGTCCAACCTGGCCTTGAACACTGCCAGGGATGGAGCATTCACAACCTCCCTGGGCAACCCATTCCAGTGCCTCACCACCCTCACAGGAAAGAACTTCTTCCTTATATCCAAGCTAAACTTCCCCTGTTTAAGTTTGAACCCGTTACCCCTTGTCCTGTCCCTACAGTCCCTAATGAAGAGTCCCTCCCCAGGATCCCTATAGGCCCCCTTCAGATACTGGAAGGCTGCTATGAGGTCTCCACGCAGCCTTCTCTTCTCCAGGCTGAACAGCCCCAACTTTCTCAGCCTGTCTTCATACAGGAGGTGCTCCAGCCCCTGATCATCCCCGTGGCCTCCTCTGGACTTGTTCCAATAGCTCCATGTTGAGGACACCAGAACTGCACACAATATTTCTCTAGGAAAGTGAGAGAAGAAAGCATGAGGAATTCAGAACATCATCCCCTTCTCCTTCATAGACAGAGCAGGAGGTGCTCTCATCACAGGGAGCCGGGCAATGTCCAGTTTGGATCACTTTGTGGGGAAGCTGTAAGTAGCTGGGGGGGCATGGCGAGTCAGGGAAGGACAGACAGACACTGAAGTCTGATTAGTCAATATGGAGCAGAGAAGCTGGGAGACACCTCCATGTTTTCTGAAGCTGGACAACCTCACTGCTCCTTCCCTGATCCCTGAATAAACAGGGGAGCAGAGGCTGATGGGGGACTCGCCTCAGGCCTCCCTCACCTGCCAGTGCAGTCTCTCGCCTAGGTCCAGTTCTGCCTGATCAGATAAATCGGGCAAAGGCTGATTCATTCCTAAGTGCTGCCCTATCAGTGAAGGGGCTCTGGAGGAGAGATTGCTACCTGAAATTACAGCAAGTGTGGCGAGGTGGGGGTTCCCACGTGGCAAAAGCTTGTGAAATAACATTTAGGTCTTGCTTCAAACTCCTTTCTCAAATAATCCCAGGGGAGCCCAACATTAACCTGCAACAAGGACAGCTATTTGCACGATGCTAGATGGCAGGGGCAAGCTGGGAAATCCCATAAGCAGGCTCAGCCATTAGCTGGAATTGTTTTGAGACAATTGTTATGAAGTACTTGGGACAAGAACGTACATATGGGACATGAAAAACTGAGGCCTCTGTTGAGCTTGTAAAGTATATAGTCACAAGTACGTCAGAGTATTTACAGCACATGCTGCATTTGAAAGTAATTCGGTTTACTCTCAGCAAACAGACTGTATGAATGATCCCTGTGAGTGAAAGTCCTCAAAACACTGTTTCTGGGGGAAAGGGGGATAAAGGGTGGATAAAGGGTGATAAAGGTCCTCATCTGTCCTCCTCTCACGGCTCTACACCATAAATGGATGACATAGAAAAGAAATATGGAGGGCTTGCCATAGGGACACAACAAATGTCAGCACCTTTGCTTTCTAAAAATCTCTTAAACCTGAGAACTGTGAACTGATGTCAAGCTGCTGGACAGAATGTTTTTCAGTTAGTCCCAGTAAAACCATCAATTCCTTAGTGAAAAGCAAAGAAAGGTCGATCCTGAGTAGTTCTTCAGTTGCACGACAGGAAAAAAGCTTAGCTAAGAAAAGCAGTGCAGGCAGAGTGGTGAAAGAAAAACTTAGAAAACCTGGTAAGTTCCAAGGGCAGCATTAATAATAAATCCATACTTCTGTAATTGCATAACAAACCTGCCCACATCACTCAGGGCTGCAAGTATTAATTAAGCAATATAGCGTTCCTGGGAGGAGAAACTGATACCCGCTTCACTGCGGCACCAAGAGGTTACAGCATGACTGGGCTCGGGGTTTTCATTTTGCTGTCTTCCTGGTAGGCTGGGAAATTGGACTTTAATAACCTCTAATGGCTTTGCATGGACTCCTTCAAAACTGGTGGAGACACTAATGTTAAAGCAGCGTACTGCAAATTCAGTGGCTTATGGATGTAATAACACAGCTAAACTTAACCATTTGCTTCCAACCTAATGGGTCAAATTCGGTTTATTTTGATTTCTCCCAAGATTCTGAACTGCCATAACACAGCAGGATTCTGCAGTTCTTACCAAATAAAAGGATACAGTGAAAGTACTTTGGGTGGGAACAGACTCACATTTGTGTGTCAGGTGACATACAGAAAGCACAAATTGACACAAAACATACATGCAAGGAAGCTGTAAATCACAAAGCTATTGGATTCAAGGAGAGAGAGTGGGCTAAGAGAGTTAATCAGCTTCCATCACCCCTGCTCCCATCCTCTGCTCTCACTCCCTCCTCCTGTTACCATCAGCTGGTGTAGTGCAACACAGCAAATGGCACAGTTTGGTTGGGATCACATCCTCTGTGCAGCTTCTCCTGCAAATCCTAATTCTTTACTCCAGCATTACTTTAATCTGTTCAAGCATGTACGAATACTAAACTCAAACCAGTCTCCCTCAGGTCTGTATACATAGCTCACCACTCAGTTGTGTCTTCATTTAGGATCTTCCCCATTTGTCATTTACTCTTCAGGTTCTGTGTCCTAATTCCCCAGATACTGTGAAATGTGAACAGCCCTGGTTCCACACTGATGGTCACCTCTGCCTCCAGTTGCTCTGTGCAGTTTCTTCTTTCAGATCCTCTCTCTTTCTTCAGCCATTTGTTAGATTAGTCTTTGTTAAGCACATCCTCTCATTTTGTTTAGTATTTTTGTCACCCTTTCTTCCATTCTTAGTATTTAGTTTCTTCAGTCCTAATTTTCAGAACAGTTAATGTCTACTCATCTGACATCCTTCCCTTCACATCAAAATACATGGCTTCTTTACCCTATCCTTCCAACATTAGTGTACAACTTTATTCATGACATCCAGTATCTCAGTCTCTGATACAACCTGTACCAGAAAGCATGCATTCTGAAGCAAAGGAACCAACACACCATCAGACTTTGCACCCATGCTCCCAATCCCCAGAGAAAACAAAGGCTATGTCAGAATGTGCCATGTGCTTGTTGGTTTTCCATTCATCCTGCCATCACCTTCCATGACCAAAGTAGTCCTTTTTCCTTCTTAAACCTGGCACCTGTATCCTGCAACACTCATTGCCCGAAAGCACTCTGCTCATCTAGCTTCTTTACAGACATGGCACTTGACAAAGCCTCCTTCCACCTCCGTGCTGGTACGCATAAACTTCCCTGTGTTACACCCCTTAAGTTGTACAGCTTCCCCAATATTACCATATAGAAGCTCTACTACGTATATGGCTTTTGTGCCAGTAAGTTATTTACTGTCTCCCACTTTCACCAGCAATGCTACAAGCAAGTGGGAGTATAAATAGGAGTTTTTCTTTGACCACAGATCTACCTTGCAGTCAAATTAAATAGGTCCAAACCTAAGAAACTAGCACTTTCTTAATCTTCCTTCAGTTTTCCACAATTCCCTTAAGCTTATTCCCACAACCCCTGTAAAACACAATTTTGTAAGTAAGTGGTTTCCATGGACAGAAATCAAAAGGACTTAAAAATTAACTTGAAAGGTCTGCATTGAAATAAGTCTGAAAAACTTTCATCCCCCACAACCGGTAAGTCCTCACCATTCACAGTCCCTGTAAAGGCTGGGGTTCAAAACTTGACCACAGAACTCTCACTTTTTTTTCAGTGCTATTTTTAAACTCAGTTCCTTTATCATGCACATGATGCTTTGCTAGGCAGGGAAGCATAATTATGGTTATGTCTCTCAATATGCTATTTCCAACCAGGGCTTGCTATGCCATAACTGCATTCTGTGTGTGGATAACCACGTTAAGCTTTATGAAAGCTCTCAGCTTATTAAAAGCCCTTGCCTGGAAATGATCCCAGCTCCAACCTGAAGAGGAGGGCTTCTGCTAGGTCCACACTCAGCTCCTGAAGGAAGTGGGAAGGAAGAAGCAAGACGCCACTGAAATACAGTAGTGCCATGCAATGCCTGGGGCTATGGGAGGTCTGCAGTGGCCTTAGATGAGAATGGGGTTGTTTCCCTCATCTTCTGTATTCCTTAAATGAGCCAACACCCTAAGGAATAGTTTTCCAGTTACCTCCTGGAGCCCGAATATAATGTCCCAACCAGCAAGGCACCGCTGTCACCAGGCTTGGCAGGCACAAAGCCTGGTCATGCAGAGATACTTCAGTAAACTCCAGCTAATGCCATGACTTAAACCCTCCCCACAGTCATATTAAGGGACTGAGGAGGGATGTAAAGAGCCTGTGGGTCCCCAGGAGCTACAGTCACCTCAGCAGTGAATGCACCAGGCAGGAAGGTCAGCAGCACAGCCGCAGCCCACAGCACTGTACGTACGTGGAGGGGACAAAAATGATCACTGGCTTAAGCAGCTTGCAGAGGCATCAGAAAACCCTGTGTTATAACTTCCCATGAAGTTTTTAAATGCTAGCGCTTTCACGTTGTCAACAAGTCTGAATCAATGGAAAAACATTCTACGCAGAAAATTCAGTGCCTTGATCCTCTATTCTGATTTACATATGGAGACAAACATACCAGGACAGGATCCCAGTGAAGACAACAGCGTTTTGTGGGAAGTCATGTGGGGCAGGGTACAGAGCTGGTTCCAGAGCTTCTCTCTATAAAGAGGGGGGAAAGGGAGTGGGAGGTTAAAGAAAAGAAAAAAAAGGGGAAGGGTAAAAACATTCTGAGCCTTAGTAAAGTAACACAATGAGAAGGCTGAAAGGTATTTATTCATAGTGGAATATTCACTGATTAATTCTTGAGAGTACTGGTGTTAGTCTCCCAGCTATCGGAAAGCAATTTTGTTCAGGGCAAGGATGATTTTTGTTGCTTGGTTACCCTACTTTTTATTCTCGAAGAGAAAACCCATTGCATTGTTACATAAGCAGCAGTGTTTCATCCACCCTGGGAAAAACATGATACAAACCTGCCTGACTGATAGAGAGGCTCGGGAAACAGATTTACATGAAGAGCACAGCGTCTGTGTCGATTTATTCCTTTGCACACAGCTTTGCTCCAGATGGTCTGGAAAATGCTCTAGATGTAAATGCTACAGCAGAATATGCTAGCAATAGAGAAGACCGTGGAACCTCAGAAAATCCTTTGGTCTTTCCTGCAAACATAAGATAGTTTAACATGAAATAGACTAAAATGCAGTGTTATCCTATCCCAAATGCCCTCTGCACATCAGGAGTAAACTTTCTTTCAGTCCTATTGCTGCCTATTAGAATAAAACAACAAAACCAGCTCAGTGAGAAAGTGTTATTAACAAAACAAGATTTCCTTGCTTTGTCTTTTCTGGTTAGAGTTAAATGGCTGCTTATTTATCGATGTAGAAGCTTTGTACACAAAACAACATAAAAAGCTTGTTTTGTATCTTTTTCATTAAATACACATGCTCTTCTCTTCCCTCAAAGCTCAAGGATCAGTGAAGGGATTTGGAAGCTTGGTGTTCTTCCTGCCAGGTGTCGATATAGCTCTAAATAACACAAAGCCTGTTATGCAATGCTATTGTAGCATAACCCCATTCACTTCTTCACTTTTACCTTCAGCATCATCTCTGTGAACTTGCTGACTTTGAAGAAGAAACAAAGAGTTAAACCATACCAAGAAAGGTTGTTCTGGTACATTCAGCATGATCATGACAGAGTAAAAGAAATGAATGAAAATGGCTTCCCTTATGTAAGTGGTATCTTTGGATTTTAATACATGAAGGGAACAGAATTTGGCTTTATCATGAGACCATTATAGTCCTCACCTTGGAGATACTGCATATGCGAAGTTCAATCTATGTGCAGCCTCATTAGTGACATAAAATTCAAGGGAGCATCGGGTTTCAGTAGATACAGTTTGCTTCCAAAGTCTGAGAAGTTAATTGCTGAGGAGTTAATAATCTGAGGAGAGACTTTTACTCATAGCTACAAAAAGTAAAATGTGACATCGTAGTGAAGTAAAATCCTGACTCATTTCAGGAACGATGACAACAGAAACATGTGAAAACAAACACTGCGTTTTTCTATCCTGTTCTTCTCTAAAACTGACTCAATGGCTTCTTCAGGTCATTAATGAAACCTTCAGAAATGACCATCTTCTCAGTGAAATACCACAGCAGTCTCGAGAGCCAGAGCCAGCACATCAAGTGCATGCAGCCCCTAGCTTACATTAAAGGTCTGTTACAGTGTTTAACATACGCTGTTTAAAACCCAGTTTACTGTAGAACAGACAAAATCATCCTCTCTAAAACAGAATGGGTTTTTTGCCTTGAAATATTATGTGGCAGTAGGTAAATGAAAGTCCAGACAGAGGAAGGCTCAGAGCAGCAGAAAGCTCGTGAGAATCGCTAAGTGAAGACTGTCAGTACATCTTTATGACGATACTGTCTTTTTTGTTACCCAAGCAGGACACTTCTAAAACAACACGTCAGGAAGGATGAAATAGAGGATGAAGTAGTTTTACCAACTATTCTACAGGAAATATCTAACTTGGAAGATGTCAAATTATCACAAGTGAAAGTTTTGCTAGGAATCTTACCTCTTGATTTAGGCATTCAGTTTGCTGATCTGGGCACGTTGTTTACCAGATTTCCCTTTTACTGCTTTACAACCTGCTCTGCATTTACTGAGTGCATATTTTACTGCACAGCATTGAATATGGTGTTATTAAGGCAAACGGGATTTGTGTTCGGTAGAGAAGCAAAGCAAGAAACTGGCATCTTAGTGCTAGCAGTGAAAGGACAGCAAATCCAAGAGCAGTTTAGTGCTTTTGATTTTAACAGATGAGCTCTCTACACGTGACTTCTAATTTTAATCTATTATAAGGTTAGATGAACCTCAAACCCACACATATCTACCTAACCATGAAGAAAAGCTACAAGTACTATAAATTGATGCTGCACAGTATCAGTATTATCAAAGGCTCATCACACAAGACCCACTTCTGGTCAATCTATATTTTAAGAAGCGATTACTATTTAGTTTCTGGAAGAAAACCAGGTGTTCAATCTGGCTGATCCTGCAAGCCGTTCATGTTTGGCTTCCTGGGATGAAACCCAAGCACAGCATAGTGAAGAAGGCAAGGCAGTTAAGATACCTGAATATTTACTCTTAGTTCTTATTGTGTGTTTGTCAGACAGGAAGGAAATACTCTCAAAAGGGACTGTGCACATGCTGTTCTGGCATTCTCTTAAAGGCTAATAATGCTACTTTCATGTTCTGTAAGCCAGAAGCAATTTGACTTTAGTAAATGTTGCAGGAAGCAAAAAGCTGACTTCTGCTATATTCCTTGTTCCCTCGTAGGCATGTTCTGTGACCACTGCTCATTAACCATTCCATATGTGTCTCAAAGCTCAGCATTGCACTTGAAGCATTGCAGCTTCCATCTACTGGTCTGAACATTTCTTATATTCATTAGCAGAATATTGTTTCCTATGGAATTAGAAAGACTGAGTGCCAGGCTTTATGGAGAAGAGAAAGTCCCTATGGATAACAGTCATTTGACAGTAGTATGTTGTACAGGTACACTTGCTCTCAGCAGGGAGAAGCACTAAAATACGGGTAGTTTAACCAGTGAAATAAAGAATAATAGCTGTTCATAATGTTCATACCTTGGTAGATGGTAGCTTGTACTCTGTAGGTGAAACAACAACATAAGTTATGTTCAAAAGTTATTAATATATGGTTGCAATAGTCATGTATGAAACTACTTCTGTCAAGTGCTACCACATTCATTTCTTCACAGTGTTTATCACCCCATCGCCCTGGGGCTCTTACCTGAGTCAGATTATATTGCAACAGTAAGTCTCTAAAGAGATGAAGGTTTCGCCAGCAGATCAGTGCTGGGAGAGGAACAGCACTTTATCACTGCAGGAAACTCTGAACAATGATAGAGGTAGAATTTGAGTAAGATACAGAATAATCTTTAAACATTGCCATCAGTGCTACAAAGATAGATGACAGGTTCCAGTTTACCTATTACCTGTAATCTTTCTGTCATCAAAGCAAATACATCCCTCATTTTTCTCTTCTACTTTCAATAGTTCAGTCAGGAAGGCAGTAAAATGTACTTAAACACCCTCCCTTACCTGTATGAAATAGCATGACTGACTCTGTTATGTAAAGTTTATTTCCTCTCTCATTGTCTGTCCACAACCATGTCACCCATGGTACAGCATACTTTAAACTGGTGTCTGATAATGCTGTTATCTGTTTATGCTAGTCAAGAAAACACGGAAGAGTTGCACTTCATACTCACAGTAGAAGATAACAAAGTTTGCAATAATCCTGTTACTGGAATTCTGTATGCTCTCAAAGTGGGAGATTTAAATGATCATAAAAAAATAGCAATATGTAAAGAGACTCTCTGTAGAAGTGTATCCTGACTGGGAAGTTTTACTTGCTATAGGCTGATCCTACTGGTCAGACAGCTGAGATAGAATTCATTCTGAAAAGCAGAGGGTAAGCATTTCCGACTGATTGGCCCAAGTATTCCGTCTTTTCTGTTTTCAGTTCCTCATAGATGTCACTGACAATCTTACAAAGAGTGCTATGTATTTGATTAAGTATATTAAAGCTGTTCCTTTCATTTTCCCACATAATTTCAGAGTCTCTCTGTAAAACTTAGGTGTTTTCTCATCATTAAGTAAAAAAAAAAGACTAAGACTTCATAAGCAAAAGATACATCAGTTGATAAAAATGTTTCACATGATGAAAATTAGCAAGACACAAGTGACTCAGTCACACTAAGGTTGAAAACAGCATCATGTGGGTAATCTCAGAACACCTATTGTGCAGAACAGTGCTAAACCACACTGCTAGGAAAACCTGAAAGCGAGGCAAGGGAGAGACGTGTATTTCTTGCAGAAATACTTCTGGGTTTAGTTTATTTTAAGATCTGTTCAAAGTGAACCCGCATAAAACATACATCAGAATGAGCAGATTTAGATTAGCTATCAACAGATGTCTCCAAGACAAACAGCCGCAGAACTCCTCCAGAATGTCTCTGGACACCTGTAACTCGTGGTTGAACAGTAATGAAGCCCAAATTAACACAGTATGCTGCCTGCTTTCCCTAGCGCTGCAAGCCTGGAAGCATTTACAACTTGAATCCATTGTTCAGTGACAGCAAAGAAAAGAGTCTCCAGGTCAGTATGGATACACCTGATCTAAGGACAACTGCAGAAGGACTGGCTACAGCTCCAGTCTCAAGACCTGCCAACTGAATAAACAAGTCTTTTAAAATGCATTGCTTGTACTGTACGGACTGGCTTCAGCTGGTACTGAATCTTCTATGCTGGGCATAGTCCAAAACACAAAGTTAGGTCCTGACTTGCAATCGGGTGATGAAGTGGTAGAGAATGGAGTCAGTGTTTCCCTTGACAAATGAAAGCGAAGAATGAGCAGCAAATGAGTTTTCCAAGGGCACAGTCATTATTCAATGGGCATGCACAATTCCAGACAGGCTTCAATAACAAGATTTCCTTTCCTCTCTAAGAAATTATCAGTTAAATCTATTTCAATTTTTAACGGATGGGGAAAGTTCTCTTAACCTGATCCCTAACCGCAAGTGCCTTAACTGCAGAAAGTATCTGCTACTGATTGACAAGGAATTAGTACATTATGAAAATTAAATGTTAGAGTAGCTTTCAAAACTGTTCCTAACCTTACAGGTTTTTGCAAAAAAGCCTTTTAGCTGAAATACAGTATCTATACTGTAAAAATTAGGCTTGTATTTGCTTTTTCCTTGAAACTCAAGCGGACAAACAGCACCAAGATTGCACTCTTGCCACCATCACCACCAAAGAGAAGCCTGCACCTCCCCCTGGGCTGCTGAGGTCTGACTATGCTTAGCTGGAGTTCTCCATGCACTGGAATACAGGCATAGCATGGATCTTGCAGGAATATGTTGCAAGGAACTGTTTAAAAGAGAGAAGACCTAAGTGTCAGTCGCTTTCAGCTTTATCTTCTCTGCACCATTTTCAGTAATACCTTCAAAATTGCCCTTGAAAATGCAATATATTAATGCTTAGATAAATTACTTGAGGGAATTCAGTGATCCTAAAAGCTTATGCTAATACAGACCAATTCTAATTTCTACATGAGTCAGTGTGGCCTCCCA